GTAACAATTCTCATCGAATAATAATTAATCATAATAATATAGTCCGTAAATAGAGAGTAATAACTATATGGACTCCTGAAGAGGATAAAAAATTATTAAATTTATATAAAAAATACAATGGAAATTGGAAGATTATATCAAATAAAATGCAAGACAGAAACATATCATAATGTTCATAAAGAATGCGTAGGTTAAATCCTTAAAAAATACGACATTAATGGACAAAAGAAGACGATTAATAATTATTAGATTTAATAAATAAGCATGGGAAATAATGGAAAATAATTGCCTTAGGCATGCCTAATAAAACTTCAAAATAAATTCGTGAAAGATATACAAATAAATTAGATCCGAATATAAATTCAAAAGAGTGGACAGAATAAGAAGATTAATAAATATTAGATATTTATTTAGAAAAAGGACCTAAATGGTCATATATTGCATAACAATCATAAGGAAGAACTCAAAATATGGTAAAAAACAGATTCTATTCTCATATTAAAAGATTGCATTTAAAAAACGATGAAAACAATATTCAATAAGAAGAAGTAAACGAGGAAGATGATGAAGAAGAAGAAAACTAATAAAGCAAATAAAAATGTAAGAAAAATACTGCTAAATAGGAAGAGAAAGGGAATTCATAAATTAGAGTAAATTAGTTTTATTTAAAAACGAATATTTTTGGTGATAAATTAGTTTTGAATTAAAATACAGAAGATAATAATTTTTAATCTTAAAAAGATAAAAATAGTTAATAAAAAATAGATTTTAATTCATCTTTATATAAAAAAAACAAAACAAAATCTCCTTCGATTTCAAAAAATTAAAATAATTCTTCAAGTAATTCAAAAGATTAATGCCCAAGTATTTCTAAAGATATATAAAAAAAATCTCCGAGTATTTCTAAAGAAGATAAATAATTCGAATAATAATAAACAAAAAAACAACATCAAAATTATTAATTTGAAAAAAAATTTAAACCTTAATAAAAAAATTAAATTGATTAAAAAGATTTATATTCATAAAAAGATATGATCAATTAATTATAATATTCACCTTATAAATAATTATATAATCCTTCTTTTTAACTTATTCCTTAATAGTTTTATAATTTTAACTCTTCTTTGTGTTAAATTAATAACAGTCCTACATTAATTTAGCCATATTAAATTAAAAATTAAATGAGATTAAATTAAATAAATAAATATAAAAATTTTGAGATAGATTCAAGTTTATTACCGATACAAAGTAATAATATAATAGAATAATTTAATAATAATTATAATAAAATAAATTTTAACGATTAATTAAATAATAATAATATATATAACAATAACAAATTTATTAATAATACTTTTAATAATATTAATACGCTAAATAGCATATAAAATGATTAAGTAGATGAAATTAATTTTATTAGTTTTAAAAATATAGAAAATAATGAAATACTAAAAAAAAATATAAATGAAAAAGAAAACTTTAGTAATAATAATAATAACAATGATAAAAATACTAATAATAATAATAAAAATGAAAATGATAAAAATAACAAAAATAATAATAATAACAGTAATGATAAAAATAATATTAAAAATAAAAATAATGTTAATAATAATAATAATAATAATAATAATAATAACAATAATAACAATAATAACAATAATAACAATAATTATTTACAATAAGATAGTAATTTCTAAAATTAAGATAAAATTTAATAATTTTCTAATTCAATATTATAAGATTTAAACCTAAAATAGTTCTTTTAAGAATTTAGCAATTTAAATAAATAAACATAAGATGAAATTAAGAAAATGATTTTAAATCAATACAATTTCCAATATAATTGACTTTTTTAGATTTTTTTTATTTTTTTAATGTATCTATAATGTAAGAGTTTCATCTCATAATATTTTTTGATATTTTAATTATATTTAAATAAACTTGTCTTTTTATATGTTTCATTCTTCTTTTAAATAATATTTCAAATTTAAATAATAAATTTTATTAGACTAAATAAAACAATTTTTAATAAAATTTTATTATTAATGCTTTCTTCTGTCATTATATTATTATTTATCTTTATCATTTTTCTATTTTCATATTTTTATTTTTTTAAAATTTTCATATGTATTTATTACTAATAAAAATTAATTTATTCTTTAAATTCATTTTTTTAAAAAGTTGAATTAAATATTTAATATTATTTTTATAAATTAAAAATAAATTCCCTTTAATATTTTAGTCTGTTGTAGATATTTATTTTTATTTTATTGCTATGATTTTTCCTATTTTGTTATTAATCAACTAAAGATTATAAAGATAAAGAAGTTTATAGAATTTAATTTTTTGTTTATTTAGAATTAAAAGATAGTTTTATTTAATTTTTTTTAATTAATAATATTATTAATGATTTTTTATAGTTCAATGATTTAAATACAATAAAAAAGCATATAGTTTTATTATTAAATATTTTATTTATTTAGTTTATTTTTAATATATTTTCTTTTTATAAATACTTATTTATTAAAATAAATATATTTTTTAATTATATTAAATTTAAGAAACTCTAGTATTAGTTAAAAAAGAATTTAGTAATAATTTATTATTTTATTAAATTTATTTAAAAAAGTTTATAATTAGATTATTTTATATTATTTTTAAAATTAATACAATAGTATTATTTTTCAAAAATTTTTAAACTATCTTATTTATAGCATTATTAAATTATATAAACTTGATAAATTTAATAGTTATAGGTTATTTTATTGTATATTAATCTATTTTTAATTATTATTTTTTTTTAAAAAAAAGCATATTTTAGTAAAGAATATTTAATTATTCATTTTTTTTTATAAATGTTAAAATATATATATATAAATATATATATATTTTAAATATTACTTTTTTTTATTCATATATATTATTTCCTAATTTTTAAAATAATTAATAAAAAAAAATTTTATATATTAGTTTATTTTGTTATTGTTTTGTATTTTTTTTTTAAAAAAAAAAATTGAAAATGAAAAAATCAATATACTCAAATAATATTCAAATTAAATAATTATATATTATAAATATATTTTATAAATAAAAAAATATAAAGAGTAAAAATATTAAAATAATATTTTATAGAAAATAAATGTTTATTCACTAGTGTAATTTTAATTTTTAATATTAAGTTTATGATTTAATATTAATAAATTTTATTTAATATTTAATTTTATATTAGCTAAAAAAAAATATAAGCTTTTATTTATAATTAATTTATATATTTTTTTTATCAAACAAAGTTCTATTATATTTCTTTTTATTTTTAAAAAAAATCTTCATTAGATGATAAATTATTACTAACTTTTCCTAAACTTATAGATTATTTAGAAAATTAAAAATAATCAGGATTGTCCTATTTTTCTTGAATATTATAATTATCTTTATTAGGTGTTGCATTTTTACTATTTTACTTTTAAATATATAGTTATTAATAAAAGTTAATATTCCAAATTTCATTTTAGAGTTGTATTTAGTTTCCATTGCTTTATATTAATTTTGATATAATTTTATTTTAATTTGATAAATCATTCTATAAATCACTAATTGCATTTTATAAATAATATTATTTTTGTTATAATTAAAAATTAATATTTTTAAATATATTAACTTAGGTTTAATATTATGATTTTGATAAACTATTTGTGTCTTAATTTATAATATTTGGTAAATTTTATATAATAATAGTTTAATAATTATCAAATTTATCTATTTTTTCTTTTAAATTATTTAATTCTTAGTTTTAATTAAATATTTTTTCCTTCAAAATTTCATTTATTTTTTGTTAATTTTTAAATTCTTCATTTTAAATTTTTTTCCTTTTACTTTTTAAGAAGTTCTATTTCAATTAATTTACACTTTAATTATTCATTTTATTTTTTTAATGAGTCTTCATTTTGAGTATTTATCTGTAATTTTTTTTACTATATAAAACTTATATTTGTCGATTTTTATAAGTTATTTTAATCAATGACTTAAAAATATTAGGAGAAAGTGAAATCATATTAAGTTAAAAAATAAGAAATATTAATTTTCCTAGAGAGTAGGTTTTATATTAAAAGTTATTATTAAATATCTTATATAAAATCTTTTATATATAATATCTTACATTATTTTATATTTTGTGAAATATTTGACTATTCCTGAATATTTAATAATAATTATTAAATAACATATTCCTAAATTTATTTCTCATTTCCTGGAAAACATTACATTATTTAGTTGATAATAAATTATTTTTCTATAGTTAAATTCATCATAGTTAAGAAGTTTATTAGAATATATAAAATGAAGTTATTTTAACAAATTAATAATTTATATTTTATGATAAAAACATAATACTCAAAATATGTTATTATTAATAAATTGATTATTAATCATTAAACTAAAATAGCATATTATTTTTGCTAATATAATATTAAAATATAATGAAAAAAATTAAAATTAATAAAAAAAAGTTTATTTACAATTTTTTTCATTTAAATTAAAAAAGTTATTAATATTTGTATTAATAAGGATTAATTTTTTTTATTTATATTTGAACTTTATATATATGTCTTTAAAAAAAAAAATATATGTAAATATTTAAAATATAGTTTATATTTCTTTGCGCAGTTTTTAATATAATATATAAAAATAAAAATTAAATTTTATAAAAAAAGAATATTAAATACAAGAAAAATAAGTTTCAAAAAAAAAATAATAAAATGATTGATAATTCATAAGTAAACTAATAATATAAAATTAAATATTTAAACTGACAAATAAAAAATTAGTAAAACGATAATAGCATCAATTAAATTTATAATTAAACAAACAAAAATAAACAAAATACAACATAAAAAGAGTAAATTTGGAAAATGTATTAAAATATAAAAAAATTAGAATGATTATTTAAAATAAGCAAAAATTTAAATATTTTTTTTAATAAAAAAAACAAAAATAAAGAAATGATCACAAAGCTTAAAAAAATGGACCTCATAGTGCAATATATTGGGTTAAAGTATATTTTATTCTTTTCAAAAATATTAAAAATGTAAAAATTAAGAAAAAATAAAGAAATGAAGATGGTTCAGTTAAAACTGAAAAATGGATATAAAACACAAAATATATAGGGGATTGGAACAATAATAAGAAAAACGGTTTCGGAATATAGTTTTATGGAAATGGTGATAAATATGAAGTATATAATTTTTTTTTTTTTTTTTTTTTTAAACAAATAAAAAAGGGAGGTTGGTAAAACAATCTAAGAAGTGGATAAGGTACGCATTGGATATCTGAAGGAAAAAACAAGCTACGCCGAGAATATACTGGAGATTGGATAGACGATAAAAAAACCGGAAAAGGAACAATGTTTTATGCAAATGGAGATAGATATGATGGTTTATGGTTAGATGATAAACCCCATAATGAAGGTAGAATGATATATTCGAACGGAGATGTATATGAAGGCTAATGGTTTATAGGAAAAAGAAGCGGGTATGGGGTTATGACGAAAAGAAATGGGGACCATTTTGAAGGTCATTGGGTAAATGATAAAAGAGAAGGACAAGGATCATATTTTTTTTCGTCAAAAAATTAAGTTTTTGTAGGAGAATGGGTTGATGATATGCCTAAAACGGGAATTTATTCGGAAGTAGAAGACCCTTATTAAATAAAAGTTGAAAGAGAAAAACATTTCACAGATGCATATGTTTTACCAAATATTCCTGATATAAAATTAAAAAATCCTACTTAAGTATTATAAGATGCAATGGAAAATGTGAGGAAACAAAGAACTATTTATAGAGCGAAGTTTATTCCAATTGATGAACTTTATACTGAAGAAGAATTAATAGAATTATAAAAAGAATATATGGCGGCTTGTGATGATAATAAGAAAATTAGTATTTTAGCTTTATAGGCGATTTTAGTTAATATGGATTTCAATTTAAATGGTTATTATATATTGTTAATTTTGTTTTTATTTTATTTTTATTTTGTTATAGAGTAAGATATTTAAGATTATTTATCGAAATTAAACCCAGGATAAACTTTCGATAGTATTGATTATGAAACTTTTGCGAGAATTATTGCGATTATTTTGGAAGATGCAAGTGATTAAAATAAATAAGATAAGGTTCAAGAAGAGGGAAGTGAAAATAATAATTAAAACTAGTATTATGAAGAAGAATATGAGGAATAGTAAGGATATTAAGATTATAATTGAAGTAATATATTTTTTTATAAAAAATATAATGATTTTTTAGTTTATTTTTATATATACGTATTTTTTTTTTAAATGGTAAAATTAATTAAAAGAAATAATAAATATATAGTTATATTCATATAAATGTGAATTATATTTATTTAATAATCATATTATAATAATATTATTTATTTATTTTTTAATTAAAATAATTATAATGTATATTATTAAAAATTAATTTTTAAAAGAATAATATAATATAATATAATATAATATAATATAATATATAATATAATATAATATAGTATTTTATATTATATTTAAATAAAAAATTGTTTTAAATATATCCATATTAATATTATTTATTGATTTATTTTTAAATTTTAATTTAAAATATAATTTAATATTTTAAAAAAGTAAATAATATTTTTATTATATTAGCATTTAAAAACTTAACAAGCAAATATTTTATAAAAAAGTAAAAAAATAGTAACGAATTGTTATATATAATTATACTAATAAAAAATAGAAAAAAAAAAAATGATTTAATAATTACAATAAATTAAAGATGAGGATATAAGTATTTTATAAATAAATCATAATAAAAGAAGAATTCTATTAAATATATAAGATTTATCATTAATAAACAAAAACAATTAAAAGGAATCATTTTAGAGTTTTTTAGATAATAATAAATTCGATTAAGATTTAGAAAAAAATTAATTTACTAATAAAAGCATTTCATTATAGTAAAAATCTTCCATTATGTACATGAAAAGTAGTCAAACTTAAATAAAATTCGGGACTTAAAATTATTGCACTAAAATCTTTAAGGAAAATGAATTAGATACAAAAGATTAAAGGGCTACTATATCAAATAAAACAAATAAAACGAAAGAATTAAGTACTTTAAATTCTAAATTAGCAATAAATAGTATAAATAATTATTAATAGTTTTTCAGCAAATTTAATTAGTAGTTTAAATTAATAGGAAATTAATCGAATAATTTTTCTAAAGAAAAGCCTAAAAAAAAGGAAGCTAGCTTAAAATAAATTAAGTAGCTAATCCTCTAAAAGTATTTAGTCAAATAAAATTATTAAGGTAATTTAAAAACAGTATGATAAATAAAATTTAGTCTAGAAGATTTTAATTTTTAAATAATTTTCATTTTTAATTAATTGGGGATTTGTCGAATTCTTAAACGGAAAATAAAAAATAAAGCGAATATTAAAAAATAAGAAAATCAATAAAAGATTCATATAATAAATAATAAACTTCAGTATTATAAAAATTTTAAAATAAACCTTTTTCCAAACAAATTACTTTTTTACCTGTTTTTTTACCCAATTCAACTTTAATAGTTATCTGGAATATTATTTTTTTAATTTTTTTATTATTTTAATATATTTCCATACCTCTTTAACTTACATTTGATATAAAAAGTAATAAAGTAGAAACGTATTTGAATAAATATCTACCAATAAATGTATTTTTAATACAATTTATTTTTAAATTCAATACAGGATATTACGATGAGGGTATTGTTGTAAAAAGTAGACTTTAAATAGCCAAAAATTATTTGAAATTTGATTTTTGGTTTAATTTAGTTTGCATAATAGTATGTTTTTTAAGCACTGAATATAAATATTTGATATTAATATATTTCTTTAATTTAAAACAAATGCTTTATTTAGTAGAAAATATAGAAGAATAATTTCAATTATAATAAAACTATTATACAGCATATGAATTAGTTAAACTTTTTCTTTTAGTTTTTTACACTGCTCATTATTTTGCATGTATTTTTTGTTATATTGGAAATTATAATTACTTAAACAGTAATGAATCTTGGATCATTAAATATAATCTTTCATAAGTAGAATGGGAATATTAATACCTTAATTCAGTTTATTTCACTTTTATTACTATGGCTACGGTTGGTTTTGGGGATATTTCACCTGTTACGTATAATGAGAAGATTTATACAATTTTTTTCATTATTTTTTGTTGTGGATTTTTTGCGTATGCAGTAAGTACTATAGGCGCAATATTTTAAGAAATTTCTTAAAATTAAGCTGATTATAAGTATATATATTTATGTTTATTATTTTTTTAATTGTTTATTAAAAAAGATTAAAAAAATATGAAATGGTTAGTTATATGGAAGGAAGAAGCATTTGTAGGGATTTATAAGTAAAAATTATGAAATAATTAGAATATATGAACTCTTAGGAAAAATAAACTAAAACTTTAACTAAAGGAAAGTTAATTTTAGCTAGTTTATCAGAAAATTTATAGGAAGAATTTAAATAAGAATTTTATGGGCAAATTTTATTATAGTTAAATATCTTTAAAGAAAATTTCAGTGAAAAACTTATTCAATAACTTTCTCAGAAAATGAATGAAATTACATTTGGACCAGGCGAATATATTTTTAAAAAAGGATAAGATGATGATCATAATTTTTATTATGTTTTTAAGGGATAAGTAGAACATGCATAATAATTAAATTAAAATTATATTGTATTAGGAAATTATAAAGTAATTTTTTATTTTTTTTATCATATATATATATTTTTAATAAGATTGGAGATTTTTTTGGATAAAAGGAATTTTTTACAGGAGGATAAAGAACATTTACTGCTAAAAGTAAAAATACTACACATTTAGTTTATTGTAAAAGAGAGGATATTCTTGAATTATTAAAGTAGAATGAGTTAGATTTGGTATAAAAAATATGTAAAAATTTTAAAAAGATAATATGGAAAACTTAAATTATCTTTTTTTTCTTTTTAATTATTATATCAAAAAAAAAAAAAAAAGATTGTAATTAAAAATTTTTATTCGAAAAAAAAAAAAAAGGAATAATATAATTTTATAAAAAGTAAAATTATTTTCGAAAAAGAAACTTATAAATAACATTGTATAATATGTAAAAATAAATCACATGATGAATCGGAATGCAATCTAATATTTTTTTAACCAAATTAAGATTTAATTATTAGTAAAAATAACTATTCGTAAGAACAAAATAGAAATGATAAATTTAAAAGATTTCATGAGTAAAAATATTAAACATTAAAATAAAAATAGAATTTATCTTAAATTGTTTAATAATATCGTTTGAGTTTAATAGCAAAGTTTTAAGAGAATATAGAGAATATTTTTACACAACCAAACCTAAAGAACCTAAAGATAACCGATAAAGATTTTTTTTTGAGAGTCCCGAAAGTAAAATTTGAAAACGGAATAATAAAATAAGACTCTAGAGAATCTTTATATAATGACGAAGATGCTTTGATTTAATCAAAAGATGAAATTTCAAAAGAAGAGTCAATTCTAGCTAAAAGCTAAATTTCTATTGAAGATATTAATTCATATAGAAATAAATAAAAACATAATACACATAAAATTGAAAGCCAAAATTCTGAATAAATAAATTAGTTAAATATGTTTCGGTCAAAAACTTTACAAAAATAAAAAACACAGAGTTCTTGTGAATATAATGATTATATTTAGTATTCTTTTTTAGAAAAAAAAAATAAATAAAATACAATATTATATTATTTTATAAAAAAAGGAATAATATATTAACTTAAATTAATAATTAAATTTAAATATAAAATGCATATAGATCTATATTATCTAAAAAAGGAAGTGGTGACAATTATAAATTAATTGAAAGAAAAGCAAGCAAAAACTTAAGTTAATTTAATAATTATAATAAATTATCTAAAACGGAATTATCTTAATTTGAAAATAATAAAAGTAATAGTAATAGTAATAATAGTAATCATATTAATAGTAATATTAATAGTAATATTAATAGTAATAACAATATTAATAATAATAAAAATATTAATAGTAAATTAAATACTGCTTCTTATTTAGAAAATCAGATTATTTTTTCTTATTTAGATAATAATGTTTAAATTTAATTGTTTGATATTGATATTGATTTATGTTTAAAACAATTCGATTGCTTTAAAGAATTTAATATTTATTATCCTGAATATAATGTTTCAAGGGTTCTTAAAAAAATAAAAAATGCCTGGATAAAAAATTACAATTAAAATAGAAAAAAATTAAATAAATTAAAAAATTATAAAAAAATTAAAATTGATAAAAGTTTATTTAATAATTATAAAAAATGAAAGATGAAAGATCAAGTTTCGTTTTATATATTTTTTTTAAAAAAAAAGTATAAATAATCTAATATTAAATTACAAAAAATATATATATATATATATATATATGAAATATAAAATATTTAAGTGTTTTTATAATTTATTTATTTTTATAAAATAAAATTATTTTTCATTATAGTATTTAAAAGAGACATATAAAAAAACATATATTAAAAGTATTTAATTTTTATCTAAAAAAATAAATAAAAAATACAATTGGTAAAAGCTTATTTTAAAATTTATCTTTTTATATATTCAAAAATGAATTTTAAACAAAAAGAATCATTCAAAAAATATTTTAATTTTTTTTCTAATTTCTTTTAGTAAGTAATCCATAAAAGAAAAAAAAGAAAAATATTTTAGTATAAAAAATAACAATTTACCACATAAATTAAATCAAGCTCAGCACATATCTTTATCGAAATTTTCACCTGAAGATTTACTTATATTAGTACTTAAAATCTCTTCAGCTGAAGTTGGATGTATTGTAATAGTTTAATTTAATTATTTTTTGAATAAATTTTAGTTAAATGCAACAACATATCCTTATAGTATTTCTCCTGCATTTAAACCTAAATAATGTATTCCTAAAACTTTGTCATTATTTGATTTATCACAAATTATTTTAATAAATGATTTTTACTATTAATTGTATTATGATATTGTTAATTAGTCTTCTAAAGGTAAAAATCGTTAATGGTATACTTCTATATTATCAATTCCATATTCCTAAATAGCTTATTCTTCATGTATTCCAACAAAACTATATTCTATGATTATAATAAATAAAATAAAAAAATAAAAAAACCTAAAGGAGTAAATAATGTTGTTGGTGTATTTTTATAATTCATTTTATAATTTTTCATTTAATCTTCTCCTAAATTATTTTTATATCCATAAATTCTATGAGCTAAAAGCCTAGATGACATTTATGCTGTAGAAGTAAGTTCAGGTACACCTTTTATAATAAAAATAAAAAAAAAAATTATATTAATTATATAAATATAAATAAACCTTCTAATATATCTCCGACAGCAAAAATATTTTGAATACTAGTTTATTCATAATTATTAAAGTTGCCACTTAAAATCTATATAAGATATTATAATAAAAAAAAAAAAAAAAATAAAGAAAAAAATAATTATATAATATATATATATATATATAAATATATATATATATTCATATAATAAAAAAAATATATAATAATAAAATTATATTTTTTATAATTTATATCTTAATTTGAATATCTCTTTACATATATGTAATAATTAAAATTATTGTATATTAAATATTATATTTTTTAAAAAAATACTTTTTTATTTTAACTAGTTTAAACTCCCAAATTATTCAAATTTAAATATTTAGAATTCGGTTTTCTTCCAATAGCTTATAATATTAAATCAAATTAATCACAAGTAATTTTATTATCATTTAAATTTTTATAACAAACATTAATTTTTTCTTCATTATTTTCTATTTTTTAAATACTTTAAATTATACTTTTATCAATAAAATTAACTTTTTTAACTTCTTTCATGTTCTCAATAATAGCTTATACCATTTCTCTATCGAAATCTTTTAACCATCCATTTCTGGTTAATACAGTAGTCTAAATTCCTAAATTACTTAAAAATCCACCACATTCCATTGCAATGTACCCGCCTCCTACAATTAAAGTTTTTCCAGGTTTTTTTTATAAAGAAAATAAATCATCACTAGTAATCATTTATTATATTTTTTCTTATTTTTTATTTATTTTTAAGCTTTTTGGTCTACCTCCTACACATATAACTATATATTAAGCCGTAATTTTATTGTCTTTAATTTCTTCAAAGTTTTGATTTTTTATACATTTTTTTAATTAATTTTTATCCTAAGTATGTAATATCGTATTTTTATCCTTTAATGTTGCTAATGCATTTATATATGTAATTTCTTTTGAATTTAATTAAAATAAAAATTTGTAATTTAAATCACTTATATAACTCTATATATTAGATATTAATCTTTCCCAACTAAAGCTAATAGCTTAAGGGTTATTTTGGAAATTTTAATCATCAAAAAACCCAAAATCGTTCGCTTTTAAAATATTATCCTTTATTACAGAAGCAGTATGAAATAATCTCTTTGGTATACAACCTACATTTACACATGTGCCTCCAATACCCCATTAAGTGCCTCTTTTTAAAAAAATAAAATATAAATATGTATATGTTTTTTCATTTTTTTATTATTATTACTGCTTAGAAGGAACTACATAATCAAATATTATTGTTTTTAAGCCTAATTTTTATGCTTCAAATGCAAATGCTAAACCTGCACTTCCTCCTCCTATAATAGCCACGTCATAATCATATTTAGTTTCATTATTTATATTTTCTTGGTTTTCATTTTTATTATTTGTATTTTGATTTTGGGAATTTTAATTAAATGAATTTTCCTGGTAATTTTATAATGGTTATTATTAATATGAAGCTTAATATGAAAACTTGTAATTAAGTTTATATTTTTAATTAACCTTATAATTTGTTATTTTTTTAAGTTTACAAAACATATAAAAAGGTTTATTAAAAAATATATATATATATATATATATATATTTTTTATATTTAGTTTTTTTTTTAAAAAAATAAAATAAAATATTTTTACAGAAATTTTCATATATTAACATTTTTATTAAAATTAATTAATTTATAAATATTAATTCATTTTGAAATACCAATATCTTGAAACTTTTTTAAATTTATTTAATTAATATCAGATTCATCGTTTTATTCTTATTGATTTAATTTATTTTCATCACTTTATGTATATTACAATTCATATTTTTTATATTAATAATAAAAACCATTATGGATAATATTATATTAACTATATAAATCATTTTTTAAATATTCTTATAATAAAGGAGTATTTCTATATAAAAATATAAATAACAATAAAATATTTTATTTATATACTTTTTAAATTAAATGCCTGATCGAGTTCTTCCTCTTTTTATCTCTATCAACTAAACATTGTTTAATTACTATTTAATAATTCATAAAAAAAAATTAAATTTGTTTCGAAAGTATTTAATTTTACTTGTAGAATTTAATAATATTACTTAATTTAAGATTTCCTTAAATTATATTCATATTAATCTGATTATTAGTCGTATGTTTTAAAAATTTAAAAAAATATTTTTTTTAAATTTGGTTAATTAATAACCTAATGATATAAAAATAGATATATTAAATATAATTATAATTTAATTCTATTTAAAATAAATTTACTAATAATCTGTATTCATACTATTAGATATTAAAGCATTTTAATCTTATAATATTAGATTATTTTCAAATATAAAAATATCTATTTGATTTTAAATTTTTTATAATTCGTTATTAAGTACTATATTATTAAATTAATTTTATTAATAAAATCCTATATTTGAATCTGAAAAAGTATATTTTTAAAGAAAAAATTAATCTTTTACATTATTATTTTATAATATTTAATTAAAGCTTTATTTTGATTTTAAAACTTAGAAAGAATTCTAATTTTTATTTTTTTAAATTTTATTTTAAATTTTACTTATAAAATATCATAGGTTTGAACAAATTCTAAGTTTTTTACATAATTTTATAATTCTTCTTCGTTAAAACAATTAAATTCTTATTAATCGGAATTTGGTTATTAAACATTATTATAATAAAAGCATTCATTAAGAAAAATTTAATAAAAGATTTCAAATGTAAATTAACAATACTATTCTTTAAAAATAAATATATGAATAATAAAATATTTAATATATATAAAAATATATATATATATATATATATATTTTATTTTTTTGTATATTTATATATTTTAAAATTTTTATTTAAATATTTTTTTTACTAATAATTTATAGATTTATATTTTCTTTCTGTATAAAATTAAAGTTGTCAATTTTAAATTAAGAAAGTTAAATTTATTAAAAACATTTTGAAATAAAAACTTGTTTGTTACCAACATATTTATAATTATTTTAAAAAAAAGCGAAAATAAAATTCATATTATTTCCAAATAATTTTATTATTTTTATTATGGTTTTTATTATATTACTATCTATATTAAATTCAAAATTATCTTTATTATTTATATATTCTAAAAATTGTTTCATTCCTTATTTATGAAAAGGTCTTAAATTTAATTCTATTTATAAAATAATATAAATTAATAACGTAAGATGATTAATTTCTACATTTTAAAAATTTATAAAATCACAATCTGTATATTCTTATTTATTTTATTAACATATTGACAATATAAAAGGTATCTTAGAAGTTTCTGAATATTTATATACTTCATTTTAAAATTAAGAATCTAATTAAATATCAAAATTACGAAAAAAAATAGCCTTTTTATTACAATCTTTTACATTTATATCTATTTTATCATTAAGCGTATTTTCTTTTTTAAAAAAATCGGCTAAGGTGGTTTTCTTTTTTTATTACTAAAAAATATGTTATTAATTTGTAATTCTTATACTTTAAGTAGTTTCAATTATTTTTTTTAATTCAATTGAACCTCTTTTATTACTATTATTAATTTCTATAAGCTTTATTAAAATAATAATAATTAATATATAAATATATAAATATATATATATATATATATATATTTGTTTATTTTATTATAAATATATTTTTTTATAAATTTATATATTTACTTGCATATTTAAAGATTTAATAGAAGATTTTAATGATGTCGTTTTTCCACATCCTTATTCACCATTTAAAATTAGTATGTTTTTTTTATTTTTCCATTTTTATGTTATATCGTTATTTAATAATTTCTAATAATCATCATCCATATCACTTTTTTCTTCTTCACTATCTGAAAAATTTATAAATGAATCATTTTCATCAATATATCCATATAAGGATTCTACTTTATATTTATTTTTGAGATTTTTATAATATTTTCTAATCCATAATTATATTAGTTGACCATATTAATTATATAATAACTTTTTATTTTTTATTAAATATACAATATATATTTTATTTATTTAATAAATACTTAAGAAACCCTTTAAGGACAATAAATATTATTCCATTAATTATGTGGTGATTATGTTATGAATTTATATAGGCAAAATTATATTTACTTCATTATTAAAGATTCTGTTATCTAATCATTATCTTTTTTAATGTTTTTTAAACAACTTTCTTTAAGAACTTCTATAAAATTTTATAAGTTTTATATATTTTAGATAAAAATATCATATTAATTATCATTTAAATACTCATTCTGTTTAATTTCTTCACTATTTTATTATGTTGTATCATCATGAGTACTTTTTATATGGATATCTTAATATTATGTAATTTTAGATTTTTATTGAGTTTATGTTTCTTCTTTTGGTTAAAATAATGTTTTTTGTTTATAGTTTTTTTATGCGGGTGGATTTTTTTATATTTTTTATATGATTTTTTCTTATAAAGGTTGATTAATTGCCTTAAATTACTTTTTTTATATTAAAAATTTATCTATATTAATGTTTTATTAATCGTTTTTGCGCTTTTTTGGAGTTGTTTTTTAAGGGCTTGCTTTTTTTGGACTATTTTTTTTTTATAATTGGTTTTGCTATAGGTTTTCATTTTATATTTAAGCTTATTTAATATTCAATTTTTCATCTAGTTTTTATTATATATACTTATTCATTTTTGGTTTTGGTTTTGTTTTGTTTTTTTAAATTTTAATTTGTTTTATTTTTTATTATTATTTTTTTTTTCAATAGTTTTTTCGTAATTTATTTATATTTTTCGAATTAAAGTGTATTGTATTTTTGATATTTGTTGTTTTATGTTTTAAAAAAAAAAAAAAAAAAAAAAAAAAAAATTTAAAAAAAGTATTTTATTTTTTTATTGGCGCTAATTTGTATTTAAATAAAATTTTTTGATGCAACCTTTATAAATTATTTTAAATTTTTTAAAATTACTTAACAATATAAAATAATATATTTTATTAATTAATTTAAAAATATAAAGAGAAAATTTAGAATTATAATTATATAATATAAATAAATAAAATGTAATTTAATAATTTATTTAAGAATTTAAAGTTATGTTTATAATTAATTTATTTAAACACAAACTATTATATATTATAATAACTTTTTAAACATTCTTTTGCATAGATATTATATAACTTATATATAATACTTACATATATATATATAATTTTGATTTTTATTAATTTATATTTTTGTTAATTTCATACGATTATTAATATATTTTTTTTTAAAGATATAAATATAATAAAATTATTTATTCGGATTTCAGATTAGAAGATAGACCCTCAAATTAATTTTCATAAATTTAGGTTAATTATATATAAATATTTACGTGATTCGATATTAAATTTTTATAAATTAAAAATTTAACTATTATCTAAAACTGTAAATCATTAATAAAACATATATTTTTAGTTTTATATGTTATAAAATAGACAAAAAACTAAATTAATATCCAAAACAAAAATAAAAATAAAACAAAAAATTATAAAAAACCTCAATTATTATCAAAAACATATTAATTTTTTTTCCAAATTAAATTTAAAAAAAATATTAAAAAAAAAAAAAACTAAAAAAATGAATAAACAAATTAATAACTTTTTAATAGAAGGAAATATAGGAGCTGGAAAATCAACTCTACTTGAAAAACTAAAAGAAAATCAAAATGCTTAAATAAACGTAGTACCTGAGCCTGTACATATATACACTAATTACAATGGACACAATTACTTATAATATTTTTATGACAATCCAAGAAAGTGGACTTTTGCTTTTTAATAAATAGTACTGAATGTTACAGCGAATTAATACAGAAAGAACTAAAACTAAGGATAAATAAATTTATTTGAAAGATCTATGTATTCTCCTTTACAAATATTTGCTTAAGAGTAATTCGAGAAAGGAGTTTTATGCGAAGCTGAAATGGAACTTTTAAAAAAAATTACTAATGATATTTGTGAATGGATTAATTATGATATTAAAGGCATTATCTATGTAAGAACTTCGCCTGAAATTTCTATGGAAAGAATGAAAGCTAGGTCAAGAGTTGAAGAATGTACTATTCCTATTGAATATTTATAAGATCTACATAAATTACATGAATAATGGCTTTTTTATAAAAAAGATTTATCTTTGCCAGTTTTAATTTATGAAAATAATAAAAATGCCGCAGGATAAAATACTGAAGCAATTCAAGAGTTTGTTTACTAATGGATGTAAAATCCTACTAATTAGATTTTAGACCCTTAGTTTCTTTGAATGAATTTTTCTTTATAAAATAAATATAATATATTGAGATATAATATATAAATATATATTTTTATATATTTTATTAAACAATTTTTCTTATTTATTTTTATGCTTATTATTTTTGTTTATATTATATATATTTTATTTGTAATGAAATTCTTTTTTAAATAACAATAACATAATATTGTTAAAATAAAATTGAATGATTCCTTTTTTTTTATTGTATATTGAGTTTTTTTTTTTTTTTTTAAAAAAAAAAAAATACAGAAAGAATTATAAAAAATATCAGAAAAAGCAATAATACATTGAGCTTTTTAAATTTATTTCAAGATTATTTTCTTAATAAATTTAAAAAATTTTAAAATTTTAAATTTTTATATAATAATAATTTTATATAAAATGAAAATTAATAATTATATTTAATAATATAAAGGAAATATTATAATTTTTAATAAAAGATTTTTTTGCGATGTAAAAAACTTAATTTAAATTTTACGAAAATTAAAAATAAATAATATAGTAAAATTTAATGTATTTTTTTATATTAATTTTAAGAATATGGATTTTTTTTATTGTTTAGTTTTTTGTTTTAAAAAAAAACTAAATCAAATAAAAAAAAGGCAATAATTCATTTTTTCTTATTTCTTTTATTTTTTGATTGTAGTTTATAAAAAATATAATTTTTTAATAAATTATATATATAAAAAAAAAAAAAAAAAAAATTTAAATTTTAAAATGACTAAAAAATAAAATATGTATAATTATATATAAAAAATAATAATATATATTAATACACATAATTTATTTTTTTAAAAGAATATATTTTTTTTAAAAAAAAAATGAAGAAAAAAATACCATTAAAAACAATTCCAGAAAAAGGATAATTTGAAGTTAAAAGCTAATATAATTTATCTGAATATAAAAGTGATTATACCTTACTTTCCAATGCAACTTATTAACCAAATTCTAACAAAAACGAACGTGAAAGAATTAAATAATTGAACAAAAAAATATTACAAAAGAAGTTAGAAGATTTCCATAAATAGACTTTTCATACTTTATTATCAAAAAAAAATAAATAATGTCATATATGTAATAGTGAAAATTGTAAAATGGGTAAAATGAGTTAACTTCCTACTGTTTAAATGATTTTTGCTAATATTTTTTCGGGAACTAAATTAATGAAAGCCTAAATAAATAAAAAAGAAAAAATTATTAATCAATAAGCTGTATGAAAACTAAATAATATTGATATACATATATATTAAATTAATTAGTATATTATATATATAAATATATTTTAATTATTTTATATTTCTTTTTTTTTTTTTATTTATATTTTTTGTTATATGCATTTAATTTTTTAATTTATTTATAATAAATATAAGTTTTTCAAATGAAATTTTTTACTTTAATATATAAAATAATTTTTTATTTATTTATTTTCAATTGTTTTCAACTATTTAATTTTACAAAATTTTATTTATATGATTAAGATTATTTAAATCAATCTTTCCATAGTGTTTTCATATGATTCTTTGAAAAATATAAATAATTATGTTAAGGCGTTTATTAAAATCTACTTAACTTCGATTCAATGTTTAAATATTTTTAATTCGATACATAATCTCTATATTAAATACTTTTGAAACTTAAATCTATTGGATAATTATGTTAAATAGAACTTTATTATAATTTATATAAATAAGGGCTTTGATAATTTGAATAATATCTTGGTCTGTAAATGCTTTATTTAATATGTTAGAAATTATGTTAATGCATTTAATCATTTGAAACCATTAAATCGAATTAATATTAATAAGGATGACGTATTTCTTTTTAAGATATATTGTAGATACTTCTAATTCCATTTCGTTAATATGATTAATTCATTAAAATTTTAATAAATAAAATTTAATAAAATAGTTTTAATTTTTATTAATAAATTTTAGAATATATTCGCTATTTTTTTTATTTTATAATGTGAATTTTCAATTTTATATATATATGTATAAATTATAAAGTAAATTAAATATAAGATAATAGCTTTCCTGTAGTAACCAAACATATTAAAATAAAATTGTCTAAAAAATAATTATATAAGCTTAAAATATTATTTAAGGAATGAATATAATTGCTTTAATAAAATAGAAAAAAAAAAAAAGCAAACAGGAAAAAAATAAAAATAAAATAAAGGGAAATAAAAAATAAATAAATTAATATTTATAAATTTAATAGAATAAATAAAAATATATTTATAATATCTATATAATTTATAATAAGGTTTTAATAATAATGATAATAATATTTATAAATATTTTAATGATTTTTTAGTATGTATTAATTTTTCAATAAATTACTTTGAAAACCAATGAAAAGTATTTTAAATACAAGAAATTATAAAAAAAAATAGAAGTAATCAAATTTATGATTAATTAAATATAAATATGAGTATAAAATCATGTTTTTTAAATAATTTTATAGTATAAATTAAATAAAATTATAAAAGATATATTTAATGTATTTATATAAATAATTATATATAAGAATTGTTTATAATATATAAATTTAATTAATATTTACTATATTTTTTATCAATAATAAAGTATAACTAACATTTTTTTTTAAAAAAAACAATTTATATATTATTATTTGTTTGTATCTTATATAAAATAATATAATAAAATAAAATTATAAATTATCTAAAATGAGAAAATAAAAACAAAAATTATAAAAAACTCCGCAATAAACTAACACGGATTATTTGGACTTACTATAAAGTGAGTTTCAGTCTTTAAAAATTGAAACAGAAAAAAAGCTTAAAGACCTAAAAACAAGAAAAGCTTAGAATACATTGTAAGTGAATTTCTAATTAAAAAAATAAGAGCCTAAATATTATAATTATAATTATGATAGTGATTATGATTATGATTTTGAAGATGAATAAATAACTTATGAAGAATAAGATGGAAATTAAATAATTAATAAATAATCATAAAAAGAGTTTTAGTTAAATAGAATTAAATAATAATTAAAATTAATAAATAACTGCATTTCTTAAGTACAATAAGATCTAAAACTACAAGATGGAGATAAAGAATAATAATTATAATAAATATATAATTATGCTGAAAAATACAGTAACTTATAATTCAACGCTGATTATTAATAAGATTTCAAACCTTTTTAAACTTAAGACTATGATTATGATAATCAATATAGATATATTTTCAATTATTAAAGAAATATATAAAATATATATATTGATATACGTGAAAATTTCAAATAAGACTCTTATTTAAAATAAATAACAAAATCAAGTGATAAAACTATTTAAAATTTAGATGTATGTGCTTTATATAAAAACTTAAATGATGTCACTTATTAATGTTACATGGATTTAGCATCTACAATTTAAATGTATGATTATCATGTAAAGAATATTAGTATTACTGGCAGTTTCTTAAACAATGTTTAATTGCTTTGTATTTTGAGAACTCTTTTAAGTTTTAAATCTTTCAATATGTTAAAATTAAACAGTGAATATAATGAAAATAAATAAACTATAGATCTTTCAAATGTCGAAAAAGTAATTTAAATGATTTTTGATATTGTTTTTAATCAAAAAGCCCTATAAGTTTTAAAAATAAATTAATAACCTATATTTTTAAAATATATATGTGAATCTTTAAAAAACGTATAAAATAAAAAAGAACATCAGCTTTTTAATTTTGAAATAATAAATAGTTTAAAATAAAATAATGTAAATGAAGTTTCTGAACTTTTATATTAATTAAGTTAATAACCATTAATAAAAATAATTAAATTATGTGATATTAAATTAACTTAAAAAAAAATATTGGATAATTTAAATTTGTTACTTAAAAAGTTGAATATTATTGATTTATAAATATGTAAATATAATTAAGATTAGAATTATAATTTTAATTTTGAAAATTTATAGGAGGTTTAATTAAAAATTACATGTAGTATTTATAATAAATAAATAGAATCAATCTTCTAAAATTTAAGTAAAGCTAAAAACGTATAAGAAATATGTCTTTCTTTTTCTTATTATGTCGATAATTAAAATAGTAATAATAATATATATCTAGATAATTTATCTAAGTTGTAAAATCTTAAAATACTTTCTTTTTCGACTTTTAATGCTAATTAATAGTATTTCCATTCTTTGTTGACATTTATTAAAAATTCGATATCTATATAAAGTATTAAATTTATAAGTATTTCTAATATTAATAATTTATAAGAAAACATTAGTATTAATAATTTGTATGAAATTATTGATAATAAACTTATGTTATAATAATTAAATTTAGAATTTAATAATTATTTTATCTTAACAGGAAATAGAAATAATAATTAATAATTATCATTAAGTATTTAATTATTGGAAAAAATTGGATAAAATCTATTAAATTAACTAATTTAATTCAAATTGAATACTATTTATTAAATTAAAATACGTATTGATTCAATCTAATATTTAAATTAACTTGATTTGCTTTTTAAATCTATCGGAAGTTGCTAAAATACCAAAAATATTAAAGTCAATATTTCAAAAATACATTCTGAGTTAATGAGAATTATACAATTTTTTTTAAAAAAAGATACAAATTATTTGTTTTTAGAATAATTAAAATAATTAAGATATTTGGAAAAATTATCTTTGGAAATGTTTTATAATTAATAGATTTTAGATAGTTTAACTGATTTGGTTAGAAATAATTAAAGTTTGAAAAATTTATAACTTGTTAAAAATGTTTAATTCAATTAATATAATTTGGATATAATATAATTATGTGAAGCTATTTAAAATCACAAAAATATTATCTAAGTTATTTTTAGTTTTAAGAATGAACAAAACGAAATTGTTTAAAAAGAAAATGAGAGTATTTGGCAAAATGAAAAAATAAATAAATTTTATGCCCCAATTGCTAATTGTATCTAAAATTGTTAAGATACCTTAAATTTTATAGAGGTTTATGAAGATAAGATTAATGAAGAAGGAATATTGTTAATCCTAAAAAAAGCTGAAAACAAAGATAAAACTATGTACTTAAGATTTAAAAATTGTATGGATAATTAAGCAAATTAGTGTTCATATGTATTTTAATAATAATACTATTAATGCTGTTCGAAAGGTAATATTCTTAAGAGTGACTATGATATGGCTTTTTGTATTAAATCATAGTATAGGTATTGAGTTTAAAAATATAATACTTAAAAGTAAAACATGAGGAAAAGTTTATTTTTTTGTTTAATTATTTTATTTAATTTTATTTAAAAGCTTTTATTATATTTTATTCTATAATTTAAAAATTAGTTATTAAATATATATAGTAATTTTTTTTTCATTTTAATAAAAACTATAAAGAATATCTTAATTACAAAAATATTTTATTTGTTATGATTTCATGGATTTAATAATAAAATTTTATGTTTTTTATATAAACTAATATTAAATCATTTTTTTAATAAATATTAACAATATACAGGTTTATAATTTTTAAATATTTAAAATATATAATTATTTTATATATTAATTTCCCCTTAAAAAATATTAAGTACATCATTGATTTTAATATAAAATTATTTATTTATTATTTAATTACATATATTTTTATATATATATGAAAATTTTTATTTTTATTTTACATAATAATATTATTTATTTTTAATTAACTTTTTTTTTTATACTTTTTAAAAAATAACTTATTTTAATAAATTTATTATAAATTCATTAAAATTAATCAAATTATATGAAAAAATTAAAATAAAGCATTCAATAAACAAAAATGAACTTTATTATAAAATTTCAGATTTATTTTATTTATATTAATTCATACTAATAACAATTTTTATTAATAAATAAGGCCATTAATTAAAATATTTGTAATAATTATTTTATTAATGAATTAAGTTATTTAATTAATTGTTTAAAATAAATATATAAAAACAATTTTAAAATAAAATACTTGTGTTATTTTTAATAAAAAAATATATTTCAAATTTTTATTCAAATTATTTATTTTTCTTATTAATTATTTATAATAATAAATAATTTTTTGTATTTAAAAATTTAGTTTTAAATATAATTATGTATTTAAAATTAATTAATCTTTTATTTCTATCTTTTTTTTTCCTTTTGAATATTATGTCTTTCTTATTATTTAAAAATCAGCTTTATTCAATTTGTGTACCTTTATAAATAAATATTTAAAAAATTAGTTATTTTCATTTATTATTTCTTTTCTGTCTATTATTCAAATTATAAATAAAAACATTATTTATTAAAATAAATACATTTTAAATAATTGCTTAGATATTTTATAAAAAATAAATAAAGAAATATATTTCCCAAATTTTTCATGTTAATAAAATATAGTAATAATAATTATTAATCTTTGTTATATTATAAACAATTATATATTATATTTAATATTATTTATTTTTCAAAATTTTATGTTTATTTATACTTAAATAGTTATTCGTATATTTTTATCTAATTTCGTTATATTTTAGGTGTAATTATTAAAAAAAAATTAAAATTTTTATTTAAAATATATATATTTTTTTTATAATTTAATTAATAAAATAATACTAATAAAAAAATATTTTTTAAATTAATTTTGGGCTTAAATATATTTTTTTATCGTATTTTTAAAATTTTTACTTTAAAAATTTTTAAATTAATATAAAATAGAATAAAATAAATAGTTTGTTAAATATAATAAAATTAAATTAAAATTTTATATACTAAAAAAATTATTTTTAATAAAAATCAAAATAATTATGAAAATTATTATTAAATAATTAAGTATTTAAATTAGGTTTATAATTTGTTAAATGGATTTTATTTTATACATTTTTTTTATTAATAAATTCAAAAAATATTTTATACATATTTTTTTAACTATTCATTTTTTTTAATAAGATTAAAATCTAAATGACAAAAAATATAATAAACTAATCTAATAAAATAAAAATTATGTTTTAAATGTTAAAAAAAACTAATATAATTATAATTGATTATAAATTAAAATTTAAATAAGATTTATAAATAAAAATTAAAAAAATAATTTTCTATTATATAAAAAATAAAAAAATTTAATATTTATTTTATTTAAAATAAAAAATAAATGTAATATATTTAAATTTAAAATAAAAATATAAATAGATTATTAAAAAATAAAAAAAAATATATATAATTTATATTAATTATATATATAATAAAAAATATGTATTATTTATATATGTATTTAAATATAGGGATGCTTTTATAAAGCCGTTTCCGATTCTTCCTATAAATGATTAAATATATAATTTTTTTTTTTTTTTTTTATTTATATTTATATATATATATATATATATATTTGATAATACTTATTTATATATATTTTTATTTATTATTATTATTTATATTTATAATTTTAATTAATTATTTATTTTTAAAATATTTTTTATATTGATATAAAATTTTTCAAATTTGTTAAATTTATAATAAATTTTTTTTTTTTTCTTTAAATATATAATATATATATATATTTTTTTTTCCTAATATTTTATATATTTTTAAAGTTTTTTTTTTCTATTTATTTGTTATTTATTTTATATTATACAAAATGTAAGCAAAAATAATATCATAAAGACTAACATTGATTTTTAGGACTTAATATAAAGCGAGTTTTAAATATTAAAAATTGAAACGGAAATAAAGCTTAAAGACTAGCAAATAAGAAAAGATTTGAATCTATTGTAAGTTAATTTTTAATTAAAGAAAATATAGCGTATATATTATAATAATGATTATGATAATGAATATTAATAAATAACATACTAAGAATAAGATGGAGATAAAATTGTTAATAAAAATTCATAAAAAGAACTTTAATTGAATTAAATTTAAAAATAATTAATTAATAATTAAATTTTTTAAATATAAGAAGATTTAAAATTAAAAGATGGATATAAGTAATTGTAACTATAATAATTAACTATTTGTGCTGAAAAATAAAGTATATTATAATTGAATACTGATTATTAACAAAATTAAAAACCTTAATAAAATAAAACAATAATCTAAACTATTAATTTAGATATATTTAAAAGGATGAATAACTTAATAATAATAATATATATATATATATATATATATATATATATATATATATAAGAAGATTTTTATCAAGAATCTTCATTATAATATTACTTTTTATAAATTTTTTAACTTTTTTTGAATTTTATTTTATTTATTTTAATTTTATTTAAGAATTATTTTTTATTTTATTTTTTAATATTAAATTTATTTATAATATCAAATAAAAAATAGTAGTTTTATACTATTTCAAATATAATTTTTATATTTATTTTATAATTTTTTAAATTGTCGTAATTCAAAGATATTAAAATTTTTTGATATCTATATTTACAAAATTAATAATAAATAAATATTATATAGATTTATTTTAATTTTTTTAGATTAAGCTAAAAATTTTAAAAATTTAATAATAATATTTTTATTATTTATATATATTTATATTATTATATATGATAATATATTTATAATGAATAAATTGAAATATATTTTATCCATTTAATATATAATTAAAATAATTATAATTTATATATTTTTAATAATTTTTTTTAATTTATATTAATTATCTTTATTAAATTATATGTATATAATATATTTATTCTTATATTTTTTATAATTTAATTTTAAATTTTAGTCATAATTTTATAAAGTTATTTATATTTATTTAATCCACATAAAATTTATTTTAAATAAAAACTAAAAAAATATTATTAAAAATAATTTATTAATTTTTTTTTTGAAATTTATTTATTTAAAATAATGTAATTTTTTAATAAAAATATATTTATATTAAAATAAATAAAAAAGGCATTAATTTTATATAGGATTATTAACTAAATATTAATTTGAATAATATAAAAAAGTGATAATTTTTTAATAAAAATTATATATAAAATATATAAATATTAATTTTTCTAGAAAATTATTAATAATAAATATTATATTTCATTATATTTTATAAAGATTATAAAATAAATATATAATATATATATAAATTAATTAATATTATTGTAATAATAATATAAAAATAATAATAAAAAAATTTTTTTTTTTTTGATTTAATATATATTATAATATTAAATCGTGAAATTAAAAATAATATAATAGTAATATAAATAATAATTTTCTATATAGTTATAAATTAAATAAAAAGTAAATAAATTTTACAATATAA